TATTAGTTTACAATTTACATCTGAGTCTAGTTGTTTTACTTTTCTTAAATGTTTTGCTCTCGGTTTTGTTATACCATAGATATAGATCTAGATCTACACGCCCAAGAGTTGGAACATGGACCAGTCCTGATACAGGCCTGAATCATTACTGATGATCGAGCCTGGACCGTGGATTTGGGGCAATGTCCTGATCCGATATTGACGAATCAGCCACGATTTATGCTGGTGCCAGACCTGATCCGACAACGATAACGATATTCATTAAGCCTCATTATGACGTACTTCCTGTTATGCTTAATTAATACTTAATTATTATTAATTTAAAATGATTTGGAATTATTATTAAAACCAAAAAAAGATTATAATTGTTTTCTTCATCATAGTCTACCAATGTTCCACAAGTAAGACACTTCATGTTTTGTAACTTAAGACACCTAAAGAGCCATAAATTAAGAAGGCACTAAAATAATAAACTTACATTACTGAGAAATTAATTTCCAAAAATCTCCAACATTAATGAACTCTGGGGTTCCATGTAGTGAAGCAGATCTTTCAAAGGTATCTTGTAACACATAGTCCTACAAAGCTTAGATCCATAACATAACTATAATGAGGCATAAATTCTACATAAGCAAAGGAACTACATACCTTCCTTAACCAGCATGATGAAGGCAGGTTCACAAAAAAATTCAATGCTATTTGAAGTGAACTATAATGACAAATGATGATAATAAATTAAAACACTATGATTAAACTGACCTTAACAAGAGCTTTAAACAAGAAAGTTTCAGTTCATCACAACCTGAATAATGAATTTAGCTTTTCACATGAAATTAAACAAACCTAAGATATTCTTGTCTTGAAACTTAGTGAGATAAGGTAACTATAGAATGTATACTAGTGGCCTTGCTAAATTAATAAATTAATATGAACTAAAGGAGCACCTACTATACTAATATTTCCAGAATAATCTTCCGCATCAAAAATTCTAAGGAAAAGTAACAATTACACACATAATCAATAAACTATTTTACCACACTTGT